TTTGCACCTCCCCTGAGAATTTTCCCACCTCTCTTGAAAGGTCATGCACTTCCCCTTGGGAAAGTTTCAATGATGGAACAAAGTGAAAATGTGATGGTTGCTTAGGATCTACACTTTGTGACGTAAGAAAGTTTTCTCTGTAAAATTGAAACAGTCATAGCCATGTCAAGCACCCTTTTAATGCAATGTTTTGAAAGAAACAGTGTAGCAATTGTAATGAAGGGCAAGATTGGAGTCATACATTCATAATTCATTAATACACTGGTACATATTATGTACCCTACATGCATACCTCACCTCGTTGATATTGGCCTGTTCTACAATAAGCCCTAACTTTCCATGGGAGTTGTGAGCTATTTTCATCAAAATCCGGCCTTGATTTGCATCTCTTTGCCTAGTTCTAAAATTAGTCTATAATGCGAATTGTCTATTTACATGAACATGAGAGACTTTTTATTTGACTTCCATTTATGAATATTAAAGTCTATGAATATTGTTATTTGTTGTTAAGTTGTTTTGTGATACATTTTTAAAACTACTGTTTTTTCAAACTGGTAAATATTTTCAAAGCCCCCCTTCTTTCGTCTCTCTGTATTTCTTCAAAGCCCCCCCTTTCAGGTTTTGAAAAATTTGAAGGCCCCCCCAGTTTCTCCTCAATCCCCCCTGTACAATAAATAATGAGCGGTCCCTTAGTTCCACGAGCGCTTTTTGTCGGCGAAATGCGAAATATTTCGCCTGTTTCTTTTGAATTGCGACCACTCGAATAAATTATTTCTACTTGATTGCTTACAATTCAAAAGAAACAGGCGAAATATTTCGCATTTCGCCGACAAAAAGCGCTCGTGGAATCAAGGCTTAAAACAGTTTGCTCTGTAATCAGTTGAACCCGCATTTTTAATCGAACTGAGTCAACTGACGGGACTAATCGGCTAAGTCGTTTTAACTTTCAATTAGAATTTTCATGTACAATTTATTTAAGTAACATCATAACATGCTCGTACGATTACAATGATTCTTAAAAACATCTCTTGTAAAGTGCGCGGTTTTCTGCTCTTGGGAATTCAAAACAGCTAACAGTTTCTTTATGCATAAAATTTACTTATGTCAATCATTTATGCACTCGTGGGAACCAACAGAGTGCTAAGGCATTCAAATTCTAACAATTGAATTGTTATTGGTGATTTCAATAGTTTTCGGGTTTTTTTGGGGACACCCTGTATAATAATAATGATCAGCTCAAAAATATTGCATGCTAATTACTTAAGTTTATTTCTTTCAACGATAAATATTTATTATGGGCACATATTAGTGAAAAAATTGAGAATATTTTGGAGATAATCATTATTATGAAGTTGATAGTATAAGGGGTAATTAAGTATTGATATACAGGGTGTCCTCAAAAAAACGAAAACTATTGAAATAAATGTATTGTTAGAATTTAAATGCCTCAGCACTCTGCTGAGCCCACACGTGCATAAAAGCTTGACGTAAGTAAATTTTATGCATAAGAAACCGTTTAAGAAGCTGTTTTAAATTCCCAAGAGCAGAAAATCGTGCGCTTTACAAAGATCGATATTTTAATTTCTTAATTATTAATAAGTCAATATTTAATATATGCACCTTTGTCAATATTTTACGCATCTTTGCGTTCAGCTTAGTGCCAGGGCATTCAAATTTTAACAATATACGTTATTTCAATGGTTTTGCGGGTTTTTTGGGACACCCTGTACAATGTGCATTCTTGAAAAAAAACTGAACCCTTTCAAATTCAAATTAGCTATAACGTATTGTAGTACTAGTAATTTGACAGTTCTAATTGCTTTGAATCATGATGATGGTTGGGTAAGAACACAAGGTCTTGTACTCACGAGACAAAACTCAAAGAAATAAAACTTAGATAATTAAAAGAAATGTTGTATTTCTTTTAATTAAAAACGTTAAATATCAATCAATTTAGTGACAATTATGCCGAGTCAGGAAATACATTTAATTACCTTGACCGCCAATCAGTTCCTCTTTTCTTTACAAAATCAGTGAAGTATTTCCTTTTATTATTTCCCGAATGCCCGTGGTTTTATATCCATTTCCCTATGAATGCATGTATCATAGTTTGGGTTTTCGGGAGTTTTGATTCTGGAACGCCCTGGAATTTCAGAATTTTTTATATATTTTCAGGTATAGTTGCATCCCTACCAACGAAAGCTTGTTCTCACTTCTCATTTTATTGGCACTACCTGACTGCCAAAGATAGTTGAAGAATGTGGTTGGCTACTTTTGAACGCTAATCTGGCGCGATCACCAGCAGAGCGGTCTGCCGCAACGAAGCGATTTGTCAACGCGCACTACTCCTTTATTGTTTTTCTTGCTGATTATAAAAGACGTAGGATATTACATTACATCGTCATTACATATTGAAATTAGCAAACTGTGCGTCGTGAGAGCGATCAAGAACTTCAGTGTGTCCCAAGAAAAGTTTCTGCCGAATAGTGATCATGGTTTCCATATGGATTTTATCAGTTCTACTTTGCAGCATTTCATGTACAGGTATAACCAAATTTCAGCTGCATTATTATATATAAAATAATTAATCTTTGCATCACGTTTTCGATTGCACTTATATGCGATAAATTCCTATTGATTACATTAAACTAAACGTTTTACAGTATATAATAACGTTCCTCTCTGTGTCCAGTAGTGTTCAATGTATCAGTTATTGTATAAAATTGGTGGACTACACAGTTTGTAAAATAGATGGCACGAAATGTTGTATGTATATGTATGTATGTATATATATATTTGATTGAGTGTATATATATATATATATATATATATATATATATATATATATATATATATATATATATATATATATATATATATA